AATGAAAATTATAAATTACTAGAGTGCGCCTTTTTTTTTTTTTTTTCTTTTTTTTTCTTTTGAGGTAGTTGGCAAGACAAGGGGGGTTGAGGGGGCACAAGCCCCCTAAATTTTTAAGAGATAAAAACTTTGATTCATTAAATTATATTTTAATTATTTCAATCTTTGTTTATTTCATACATTTTAATCAATTTTTAACCATCGTTTATTCAAAGATTAGTTTTAGTGATTATGAGAAAGATGAGGAAAATAAAGATAAAATAAAATATGATAAAAAATAAAAATTAATTGAATATAAAATTGTTCAATATCATTCTTTTACAAAATAGTTGTTTATTAATACCCTTGTACTTTATTTTTTGTTTAGGAAAATGATTCATGTATTCATCAGAACAACACACAGTAGGTTACCTTCCTTTAAAAAATATATTTATAGTCAAATTAAGAATAAGAGGTGAATAAACCCTGTAGCCATTTACCTAGCCATACTCTATTTTTCATTCCAAACATATAATATCTCGATCCTTTCTCCCTTCTTTGATTCTTCACTATTTCCTTGTCTTCTCCAGCACCGACACCAACATTGTCACCATTGTTGGTCATTGCTTTTCCTCACTTCTTCTTTTCTTTTTCTTCCTCCCTTCTCCTTCCTTTCTTTCTCTTCCTTCATTCTCATTCATTCTCGTTCTTTCTCTCCCTACCACTCCATTTATTCCCCTTGCTTCTCCATAGCAAAGAATCTAGAAAATTTGCACTACTAGAAAAAGGCACAAATTCGGTCAAGAATTACTGACCGAAAAGACCAAATATTGATTGAAAAACAATTAATTCAGTCAAGTATCTTGACCGAATTGTTGGATCAAATATGCTCTGTATGAAATACAATTTCAGAGAGAATTTTATCTTGATTGAAATAAAAACCATTTCGGTTAAGGTGCTTGACTGAAATAAGATTGAAAAAATCAATAAAAAAACACTTATATTCAGTCAATATATTTCACTGAAATACTTAAATATTATTTTAATAACATATTTCGGTCAACTATAATGATTGAAATATTCATGAATTCGTGGTCTTTCGGTCATCTTATTTCGGTCAAATACCTTGACCGAAATAAGTAATCCATTTTTTTCGGTCAAGTACCTTGACCAAAATAAAAATGGAGATTAACAAAAAAAATTATTTAACGAATTTTAATTTAGTTGATAAATATTATAATAAAATTTGG